ACGTGGCATTGGGGCGGAGTCCTCAGGCAAGGGGAGGAGCTACGCCTGCGCCTCCTAAACTCCTCGTGTTGCATTCTGACTGGACCGCGTGTCCGTACCTGGCGCCGCCCTCGGGTCGCGGGCCGGAAGATGGGGTGACGCAACTTCCGGCGCGCGTGTAGCGCGTGAGGGGGCTCCCGGTGCCGCTGGGGTCCTCGGTTTGGGCCTTGGTTTTGCCCAGGGCGCTCCGTGAGGTCACGCTCGGCGCCTGCCGGGAAGGCGGGGAAGGTCGGAGGAGGGAGACCTCCGAGAAGATCGGGCCTCCGCGTTGGCGGTCTGCGAGAGGCCGGGTGGGGGCCGTCGCCGGGGAAGGGCCCGGCCGCCAAGCCTCCCTTTTATCTCCTCTCTCCCCTCTGGCTGCCAGTCCTCTGAAGCCGCCCCTCCCGCCAGTGCTTTCCGGTGCCTTGGTAGCAGCCTCACACCTCCCGGCCCCCGCACGGCTGCGGGATGCCCTGGGCTCTGCGTCTCCCTCCAGACCCGGCCCCACGGGGCTCCCCAGCACCTGAGTTGGGGCTAGCCCACCTGAGACGGCTGTGAGTGTGAAATACTCATTAGGCTTCAGAGGTGCAGTATTTGGTTAGCAGCTTTATGTTGACTACACGTTGAAATGGTGTTTAGTGTACATTGAGCTACGTAAGTAGTTTTACTTGATTCCTTTTTACGTTTTAACGTGGCTTCTGGAAACTGAAATTGCACTTTGTTTCTGTTGGATGGCCGATCCAGAGCCCACCCCCTTCTCCGGCAACCTTCCCCTCCATTTCTCCTCACTTTCCTCCGCTGCGAAACGCCACCACTGATTTTTAAAGCTAACCATCAGTTTGTAATAATAACTTGGCAGGGAAAAGGGGAAACACTCCCACGTTAAACGTACACGTTGACTGTAACAACATCCTGATTTCAGAAATGGTAATATGTAGAAAAATGCTTTTGTGATTTTGAGGGTTTGTGTTTGTTGATGTGGTCGTTCTTGAGGGCGTATTTCTTATCTTTTCTATATGGAACTCCCTCAACTAGAGTATGAGTTTGTTGTGATCAAGAAAGACTAGGCCCTCTACCCCTCCCCCAGTGCCAGCAGAGCAAGGGTCAGTCAGAGGTGTCCGTTGTCCCCTTGGGGGAGACCTGTCTGCTTCCCAGCGGTGACTCTACGCACAGGCCTGGGAGGTCTGTGAATGTGGGCAGGCACTGTGCTCCAACCCAGCTTGGCAGGGCCCTGGCCTGGAGCTCACCCAGAGAGTGGCAGCTCTTCATCAGTAGTTTTCACGGAAGACACAGTGCCTTCCACTCTGGAACGGGTAGAGATTGCTCAGATCTGCCGCACTGTTTCCGAGCGTTTTTGTGACTGCCATGACCTGTTTCACAAACCATGATTTGGGGCCCAAGATAAGACATTTGTACCACTTGTAGGCATCAGGTATGAGGTCAGAGTTTAGATGCCTAAACATTGGGGCTTGTGTTTTGTCCACTGATGGGGACAGAGTGAAGGGATTTGGCAGCATAACATTGATTTGCTTGTGATGATTTGGAGGCAGCTTAGCTCTAGAATTTAATGCTGAAGTGTAAAGGAGAAGTGTTCACAGACTATAGATTAAAACATTGGGACCAAGTGAAGAACACTCCAGGTACACAGATGAGACAAGCGTCAAGTAGCTGCAGTCGCATCTCACTTGGGTTGGCTGTGGGCCACCAGTGGCCAAAGCTGAGCCCAGTTAGAACACATCCCCATGTTGGTGACAACCTGGCCAGGGTAGCTGAGGGCAGGGATGGCGGTGGCTCAGTTGACGTGCTTCTGTGAAAACCAGGGTGCCGAACCAGGACTCTGGCCTAGGTGGGCCACAGTGTTTTAAACTGATGCCTTGGTTGCCCATCATGTCTCTCAAGGTGCTTCTGCCCTCCTTGAATTGGCCTGTACCAACCCATGCAGGAGCAGCAAGGTTAGGTTCTTGTAAAGCTGGAGGGAGGAGGCCTGGTTTGGGGATGGCCTGAGAGATCCCCTGTCTCCTGGGGCTAAGAGCTGGATAAGGCGTCCTGCCCCCTAGAATGTAGGCTGGTTCATCCAGACAGCTCTGTAGGCCTCAGCCTGAGGGGAGGGCTGGTGTCTGACTCCTTTTTCTAAGGCCTGCTCACGTGTCTTCCAAGAACAAGTGTAGGAAGAGAAGGTAGCGTCATATTCACTCTCGTGCCCAGGCCCTGTGAGGAGTGTGTCCTTGGGGGTCAGGGCCTACCTGGTGGCTGTGACTCTGGCATTTATTTGGACCATCACAGATGCTTCAGGACAGTCTCCAGGGAGGCTCACGCTTGGAGAAGTCCATTAAATATTTGTTGAACTGCTGAGTAATCAAATGTTTAATATTAATCTTTTTTTCCCTTAGAGACAAGGTCTTGCTCTATTACCCAGGCTGGAGTGCAGTGGCACCATCACAGCTCACTGTAACCTTGAATTCCTGGGATCCTCCTGCCTCAGCCTCCTGAGGAGCTGGGATTACAGGTACCCGGTACCATGCCCAGCTAATTTTTCTATTTTTTGGTAGGGACGGGGTCTCCCTATGTTACCCAGGCTGGTCTTGAACTCCTGAGTTCAAGTGATCCTCCTGCCTCAGCCTCCCAAAACGCTGGGATTACACCACGCCTAGCCTGATTAACACTATTTTTAAAAATAGAGTTCTCAGAACAACTCCCCTTCAGCCCACAGTCTGATCAAGGTGTTGAGGGGTTAACAGTAGGCTAGCAGGCACCTGGGAAGTGCTCTCAAGGACCTCCTTGCAGTTCCCGCTGCCAAACAGCAGCCCTGCTGCGCCAGGAGTCCAGGAGCAGGGTGTGGCAGGCGTGGGCCCCATGGGTGGAGGTGGGTGCTGACTGTGGTGCAAGACTGCTGGGCACAGGGAAGGTTATCGAAAGTCATAGCTGGTGATCAGGTGGCCATGTCACAGACTCTGACTTTGCCTGGGCTGGCACTAGCTGCAACTGGTCATTCTCAGTGGAAGAAGGGTCCATTTGGGAGTGGCTGAGGAGGTGGAAGCTTGGGGGTTACTGGGAGCCACAGGCGCTGGCTCATGGGGGTGGGGAGGCCAGGCCCCCGGGCACCAGGCTGTACAAACAGGTCTAGGTGGGACCAAGAGGCTCAGGTTAGACTTGGGACCTGATAGACACGTCAGGCACCTTCGGCAGGTGCCACCTCATGTTACCCTGCACGAGGGGAGGAGCCAGAACAAAGTCCTGGCTACTGGCAGTGTGTCTGTACAACTTGGCACTTGGGTCTGAGTTCACGTGTCTAACTGAAGCTAGGGAAATCTGAGCACAAAAGATTAAGCTTCTGGCTCAACATGTGCCTTAGAAGGCCCTTGCCCTGCAAACCAAACCACTGACAACACAGACTGATCCTGGGTTTGGAGATTTCCCTGGGCCTTCTAGGAGGCGAGCTGGGAGAGCTGAGGGACTAGCTGGCCCCCAGTTGCCGCCTCGAAGCCCACCCCTCCCCAGGAGAAGTTGGTCTGTTCGGGACAGAGGCTCAGGGCTGAGGAGCCAGTGTGACCAGCTCCAGTGAGAGGCTGGTTTAGGGTCTTTGCCTCCCACAGAGTCAGCCCTAGGGGCTGGCCCAGCCTTCCTGGGGCACTCACATCTGCCTCTGGGCCAGCTGTGGCGGGAAGGCGCCATTCTGTCTGGGCTCCCAGCACAGGGCCAGCTCCGGGATCAGCCTCTGGCTCCCATAGGAGCCTGGTAAGGATGGCCGGGGCGGCAGCTGGGCCTGTGGGAGCCATCCTGGCACAGGTGTGTGTCAGTGGTCTAGGAGGCACGGGGGCATCTCCTCGCCCACCCCAGCTAACTCCCTGGCAGGGCCCACCCCGCTGGCAAGCACCAGGACGGAGGTGGCCTGTGTAGGACACAGCTGCCCAAGCATGAAATACAACCACTCTCTAAAAGGCTCAGACCACAGAGAAGACAGGTTTTGAAACTGACATCAGGCCAGAAAAGGGGGACTTTCTGGGACAGACCCTTCATCTTGTGCTGGAGCTGCTCGTCTGCCCCTCCCCCTTCCAGAGCAGGCGGGGAGGGGACAGCAGTTTGAAGTTAGTGGGGGTTCTTGGGGGTGGTTTTCAGAGAGGCCCCTGCAGACGAGGAGTCCTGGGCCGGGGCTGCGCTGGCCGGCTCCGCAGTAGCCCTGCAGTGCGCGTCCTCTCCATCTCCTGCTCACCCCTGGCCTTCTTTCCTTTGCCTCCTAGACACCTGGCCCTGCCCATTCCTGGGGTGGGGGGCGTGCTTGGCTGGGGCTGTGAAGAGCTGATGCCCCTGGAGCTTCTCTGTGGCCCCCTCCCTCCCTGGCTCTGACTTCCTGCCCCAGTCGAGGATTTGCCCCGGCGCACCACGGCCGCTTCTCCCTCGGGCTGCCCCACAGCTTGGGGCTGCGGATGCAGTTGTCCCATTCACTCCAGAACCGGCTCTGTCCCTCCAGCGAGGCCCCTGGACTGTGCCGTGTGGGCTGCACTCAGGGCCCTGGGCGGGCACTAGAGGGCGCTCACTGTGAGGCCAGTTCTGGAGTGCCTCTCCCCGCCCAGCCCTGAGGCCCTCTGCACCTGTCTGCATCCCAGGACCTTGCTCCAGGGCCAACACTGTGACCCTTGGCCTACCATTCCCTCTGCAGGGCAGCACCACCTGCTGCAGTTCTAGAAGTGCACCACCCGATGGTAGCCAGGAGCCATGCCACAGGGGGTGGAAGGAGCAGGCGTGACAGTTTTACCTTCCTTTCTCATCAAATAGCTGCAGTGGGCCAGTGGCTACTGCACCTCGGGTGGGAGGTGAGGGCCCCTCCAGCCAGCCAGGGGACTTAAATCCTAACCCCAGACCCCCCCCCCACATCCAGTCCCCATCTGTCTCTGCGCCTGAGAGCCAGCAGAGGAATCGCACCCTGCCCGCCCCCGAACCTCCCACCCAGACTCTGAGATGCCAAGCAGCACAAACACCCCGGCTCCTTTAGGGGCATTTATTTCCCGGTCAGAAAAGGAGAAGCAGGGACAGGCACCTCTGCCTGTTGAGGCCTGAGCCTGGCGGACGCTACACAAAGACCGGGGAGGGGGAGGGAGGCACAGGAGATGGCTCCCAACTGTGTGCACTTGGTCCCGTTTGTCCTGCTGGGTCCAGGGAGGGCCTGCCCGGGGAGGGTGGCACTGAGAGCCTGGGGGCAGAGGTGGCAGGCCAGCTGGCCCAGAGGACGGCACATTTGGAGGCAATAAATACTGACAGGCCAGGAACGCAATTCCAGGCAGGACGATAAGGCTCGGCCACTGGCTTTGTCTGGGCTCTCTGTGGGGGAGGTGGCTCCGAGCACCCCACGGGCAGAGAAGGCAGAGGCGTCAGGACACACAGCCTCCCAGGTGGGACTGGAGGCTACTTGAGTTTTGGCAATTTGGCTTTCCCCAGGCAGCGGGAGCCCTCCCAACAGCCCTGGCTGGGGGAGGGGAAGGGCTGGCCAGGCCCAGCAGGCTGGGAAGCCGCGGCAGCGCACCCCCACCCCACCTCCCCGGGCCACCGGAGTCGTGGACAAGGCAAGGACAGGGAGACCACATGCTCATGCAGACACAGGGTTAGAGGTTAATGCGGCCCCCACGGCACGTTCCACATGTTAAGGCATCATGGTTAGACGGAACCGACAGCAATGGATGACGGCGGGAGTGTGGGGCTGGAGAGCCCAGAGGGGCCCTGCCTGGCAGCCCGGCTCCACGCCCGGTGGGAGGGGGTGTGCCTGTGAGGCCCCGCACGACGCTCTGCTCCCTCTGAGAGCCAGGGCCTCAGGCATGACAAGTAGAGGGGACCCGGAGGGACACAGATAGGGCAGCAGAGGCCGAGCCAGAGCCTCTCCCCCCCACAGCACAGGCAGAAGCAGCAACGAGACACGAGACCACCGAGGAGGCTGGGGGCCTGTGGGCTGGAGGGCTGAGGAGGGGCGGGCGGAGGAGCTCCAGCTGAGCCAGACCCGGGTGGAAGTGACAGCCGGGGAGGGGCCCTGTCACCTGTCAGCACTTTGGTATGGGGGGAGGGGCTGGGGTGGAGATGGGGCACGTCCATCCGTCCGCCTGTCCGTCCGCCCTGCCCGTCTCCCAGGCCGGGCTCAGTCCTTCCACTCCTTTTTGATGGTGAGATTCCACTCCCAGGACAGGTGGTCAGTCTTGTCGTCGTCTGTGAAGCGGGACTTGATGTTGTAGCTGCCGCGGGCCAGCATGCCCTTGGGCGCCTCCTCCATGGGGGTCAGGAACTCATACTCCTCTGCCCGGGGGCCGTAGCTCCCCACCATGTAGTCGGTCTTGTCGACTGCGGGCCACAGGGAAGGGGTGGTCACCGGCGCTGCTCTTCCGCCCCTGGAGCAGGCACACCTGGGTTGCCCCCAGCCCCACCCCTCGGGCCCTCGCTTACTCTTGACGCCTTTCCTGTACGTGTGCTGGATGTACTTCATGCCGGACACGATCTCCCTGTTCACCTGGGGGGACCCGAAGCTAGGGTCAGCCACCGGCCCCGGCCCCAGCCCCCCACTGCCTCCAGAAGCCACTGCCTTACCCGGAATGAGATTTTTATCCGGTATTCCACACCCTCCTTCAGCACAAAGGACTGCTTCTTGAAGCTCTCCAGATCACCTGTGTGGGGGAGGAGGCTCAGGGCCACCCAGCTGCCTTCAGGGACGCCCCCAGCCCCACACAAAGCCAGAGACTCCAAAGACCGCTTGGCCGCACCTCCTGTGCTGCCCACCAGAGGGCGCCGGTGCTCCAGGAAGTTATTTTTAGGGGAAGCAACAGGACGCAGCGAGCCCCACCCAGGGCCTCCCTCCACTCACCTGTCAGGTCCAGCTCCAGGGGGCCTGGGGCTGAGCAGCACACCAGGGTCAGGCGGGTCACGATGACGTTGGGGACGTTGGGGTCTGGGGAATGACAGCAAGTGAGAGCCCACCCCTTGCTCTTCCCTCTGCCACCAGTGGGGGAGGGGCAGGGAGCAGCCACGGGGCTTCCTGCTGCCCCAGGCTCACCTGCAGAGACGGCCACGCGGCCCAGCAGGGCCTCCTTGTACTTGCGCAGGCTCTCGTCGTCCTTGTCCAGCTCCTGGATCTCCTGGATGCTCTTCTGGGCTGGGGGCTTGTAGTTGACCGAGTGCTCATCCTCCTCGTTCTCAGCCGCAATCTGCGCCAGCTGCTCTGCTGTGGGCTCCTGCTCCGCCATGCTCACCTCTCGCCTGGGTCTGTGACACCTGTGGGCGGGGCGGGGCGGGGCTATGGCAGCCTGAGGGGCAGGTTGTGCTAGCAGAGCCTCAGCAGGTGGCAAGCAGGCAGGCCTAGGGACCTGGGCCCCAAAGGGAGGTGCAGGAGGGTTGGCTTGGGGAGAGCTTCACTAAGGGCCCAGAGCACAGGTTCCTGCCGCTTAGGGGGCCACACTTGCCTCCCCCCACCCCCGCCTACCTTGGGGGTGCCCTTGGGGCAGTCTGAGGGCCCTAGCCCCGGTATGGCATCCAGGACTGTGTGGGAACTGCAGCCCATCACCAGGGATACAGGTCACACCTCCTCCCGCAAGCAGAAGGCATACAGGGAGCCGGTGGATACCTGGCCCCAGACCCAACTGGCAGGGCCCTTGGTCTCTAGAGCCCTGCTGCTCTGAGCTACTCTAGTCCCCTTGCCCTAAGGGACCTCCCTAGTGGGTACCATAGCCGGGTGTCCTAGCCAAGGGATGCTCCTTGGGCTAGTCAGGGACACAAGTCTGTTCTGGCTCAACCTGCAAACACAGGATGCTCCTAGAACTCTGAAGTCAGGGGCCAGCCAGAGTCCCACAGGGGTCCTAAGTGTTTTGAGGTTCCCTCCAGTTGTGAGCGTCTGTGAGCTAGACCTTAGGAGTACTGCATCCGCTCAGTATTCTCAGGACCCTCTTTGTAGACCCAAAAGTGCCCGGAGCAGCACTGACCGAGCAGGGACCTCGACGCGAGGCAGCCGCGGGGCTTCGTCACGCCCGGATCCTTCCGGGCGGCGTGGGAGCTGGGTCGGGGCGCAGCCCACCCCAGGAGAGGGACCCGCCTACGCCCCGGACCCTCCCGCGCCACCCGCCCAAGCCCCGCTGCTTCCTCCGGGCGCTCCCGCCCCGACGCCCCCGAGCACGGCCGCAGGCGACCCAACCCGGGGCGCGGCCGGCACTTCCGCAGGGCCCGAAATCTGAGTGCTGGGCGGATGGCGCCCCACCCCTGGCCGCCCCGGGGCGCGATGACCGCGGCGGCCCCGCCCGGCGCCTCCATCCCCGGGAAGGGCGCGGCCCGCCAGCCCCCGGCGCCGCGGCGCCACGCGAGACGCCCGAAGCGGGACGCCCGCGCTCCCCGGCCCCCGCCCGGGGCCCGCACGTGGGGCCGCCGCCCGCTCGCGCCCCGCCCCGGCCGCGCCGCCGCCGTCCCCGCCCCGGCCGCGAGACCCGGCCGCGGACGTAGGCGGGGCGCGGAAAAAGCGGCCCCCGCAACCCTCCCGCGCGGCCCCCGCCCCGCAAAGCCGCTCACCGGAGGGTCGGCCGCGCGACTCTCGCTCCCTCCCGCACCGAGTGACGAACGTCGTCGGCCGCCGCCCGCCGGCCTGTCACTTCCGGGGTCACGCGACTTCCGCTGCCCGGGCGGGGCCGGCCGGCGCGCAAGCGCGGCGGGCGAGGGCGCGCCGCCGCCATCTTGCGGGACTGAGGCCCGTGGGCGCGTCCCCCGTGGGGATTGATGTCGCACTTCACTTGGAAATACCTTTAGCCGTCGTCTTTGTAAACGAGACATCCCGTCACACGAGTCCGGAGCGCCCCTCCGTCCCGCCGGGCCTTTGGATCGGGCCTCTCGCCGCGGGTCGTCCGCGCGCGCCCACTCGAGGCCCGTGGAGACCCGCGGATGTGCGTGGTTGGCCCCGACCCCGCCGGTCCGCCTGCGCCTTTGGGCGTCGGCGCTTGTCCCTGTGTCCCCGGACTTTGAGAGTGAACGCTGGACGTGGCCTTAAGTTCTCACCGAGCCCCTGCGCTGGGACCTCTTCTGCCAAATCTAGACTCCAGCGCATGGCGGCCCCCTCCCTGCGTGGCTGCCCTCCTCCATGACTGTCCCCCACACGGCTGTGCTCCCCAATGACTGTCCCCACCCACACGTCCCTCACGACTGTTCCCTCTCCAGTGGCTGTCCCCGAGCACAGCCGTCCCCTCACACGGGCTGTTCCCCCAGCGCATTGCTGTCCCCTGAGTGTCCCTCCGGGTGGACAAGGTTGTGTACGGTGGGGCGCGGCCTCTCGCACTCCAGCAGTCCTCCTCTTGGAAGCCTGGTCCATGCCTGGTCCAAGCCTGGTCCTGCTTGCTGGCGGGCACAGCCGGGGCTTTTCCTTCCAGACTGAGTCACAAAATTCTTGGGGAGCAGCCCACTTGGCTACCTCACACAAGAGCCACGCCGGAGAAACTTCTGTCCCTGTGGAACCCCTGGGCTCTTTCAATATGCAGGGCGCTCCTGCCACCATGAGCAGATGATGGGGCTGCTTCAGCCTGGGGGTCACCACAGGACCCCAGAATTCTCACGTCCTTTGCTCCAGTTGATCAGAGATTTCAGACATTTGCCCAAACAAGGAGCATTTTGGAGCATCAGGAGAGGCCCCATGAAACATGGGTGGCCAGGCCCAGCCGTACTGCTGCTCCTCTCCCCTGCTGGGGGCCCAGTCCCTAAAGGCTCCACACCAGATACGGGGGTGCTGTGCCTCTCCCAATCCCTGTCCTGCAGCATTTGTTGAGATTGTAGTAACGTCATGATGGACTCTTGCTTCTTTATTTATTTTTAATTTTAGAGACGGGGTCTCCCTGTTGCCCTGGCTGGAGGGCAGTGGTGTGGTCATCACTCACGGCAGCCTCGAACTCCTGGGCTCAAGTGATCCTCCCACCTCAGCCTCCCCAGAGGTTGGCTTCCTTTAGTTTTTTTGTACCATGGCAAGGGAAGGTTAATGTTATCTTGAACCTTTTATCAAAACAGAAAAACAGCTGAAGAGATGTGAGTGCAGGACACAGGAACGGCCATCCTCAACGCCAGGAGCAGCACAGCAAAAGAAAACCATGGAAACCACACCTCACAGCGTAACAGTATTCAGACACTTTGGCTTAGTGAGGTCACTTTTAGGAACGTATCCTGTGGAAATAACCGTGGATGTGCATGAAGGTTTAGTCACAAGGACATGTTTATTGCAGCATTTTTATACTATCAAAAATGTTAATAATTTGAAAAATTTGAAAAACAGTGGAGCTATATCGCAGACCACTGCCCCACCACAGCACACCTTCTGTTACTCACATGAATGTTCTATACAGCATCATCTTACATGTTGCTTAAAAACCCTTTGATTAGGCCGGGCGCGGTGGCTCACGCCTGTAATCCTAGCTCTCTGGGAGGCCGAGGCGGGCGGATTGTTTGAGCTCAGGAGTTCGAAACCAGCCTGAGCAAGAGCGAGACCCCGTCTCTACTAAAAATAGAAAGAAATTAATTGGACAACTAAAAATATATAGAAAAATTAGCCGAGCATGGTGGCGCATGCCTGTAGTCACAGCTACCCGGGAGGCTGAGGCAGGAGGATCGCTTGAGCCCAGGAGTTTGAGGTTGCTGTGAGCTAGGCTGACGCCACGGCACTCACCCTAGCCCGGGCAAAAGAGTGAGACTCTGTCTCAAAAAAAAAAAAAACCCTTTGATTAGGGCCAGGCTCAGTGGCTCACACCTGTAATCCCAGCACTCTGGGAGGCCAAGGCGGGAGGATCACTTGAGCTCAGGAGCTGGAGACCAGCCTGAACAAGAGTGAGACTCCATCTCTACTAAAAATAGAAGAAAAATTAGCCAGGTGTGGAGGCGCATGTTTGTAGTCCCAGCTACTCAGGAGGCTGAGGCAGGAGGACCCCTTGAGCCCAGGAGTTGGAGGCTGCAGTGAGCTGTGATCTCACCACTGTACTCCAGCCTGGGAGACGGAGCAACACCCTATCTCGAAAAGAAAAAACCTATTTAAGTCTTTTGCCCATTTTTAATTGGATTGTCTTATTAGGAGTTCTTATATATCCTGTACACAAGCCCTTTATCAGATACATGATTTCTGAATATTTTGTGACTTGTCTTTCATTTTCTTAACGCCATATTACAATTTCAGCTTACAGTCAGGTCTACTATCCATTTGGGTTGATCTTTTTGTACGGCAGGAGCTTTGCGTCAAAGATCTTTGCTGTGTACAGACATCCATTTGTCTCAGCACCATGTGTTGAAAAGATAGTAATTTCCCCCATTGAAATGTCTTGGCACCTTTGTTGAAAAATCTTCACCGTACATTTAAGAGTTTATTGCTGGACTCTTCTGTTCCATTGACAGGCTTGTCCTTAATATCGTATTTCTCAATTACTGTAGGTTTGTAGGAAAATTTGAAATCAGCTAATATGAGTCTTAAATTATTTTTCAAAATTGTCTTGCCTACCCTCGGTCCTGTGAATTTCCATATAAATTTTAAGATCAGCTCAAAATTCCTACAAAAAATCCTTTCGGGGATTTGATAGGGATTATGTTTAATCTATAGAACAATTTGGAGAGAACTGCCATCTTAATATTGTCTTCCAATCCATAATAGAATTTTTGTGTATTTGATCTTCTTAGTTTCTCAGTATTTTATAGTTTTTAGTGTACAGGTCTGACACTTTATTGTTAAATTTGTTTCTAAGTATTTTATTGTTTTTGATGCTAACGTGAATGAAATTTTCTTCGTGTCATTTTTGGCTTGTTGATTCCTAATATATAAAATACATCTGATTTCTGTGTATTGATCTTACATCCCGCAACTCTGAAAATTCATTTACTAGTTTGTGGAATTCCTTAAGGTTTTCTACATATAGAATTATTTCATCAGAATGAAAAACAACTGGCTTCATCCTTTCTCAGAAAGGATGATGTTGACTTTTGCCCAGGCTGGACTCACCTGGGCTCAAGCAATGTTCTTGAGTAGCTGGGATTATAGCTGGAAGTATTTTTGTGAACTGCCCATTCATGTCCTTATATGTAAATGTTTCCCAATGTTCTGTTTGTCTTGATTTTCTTGGTACTGCTTGAAGTACAGAGGTTGTTGAAAGCTCTCCCCGCTCTGCAAAGATAGGTGCTCTTATTTTTAATCTAATGATACCACGCACACACCTACACAACTGACTGTGCTTAGTATCCCTTTCCCCGCGTCTCAGAGCTGTCTTGTTCCGGCTGTTTGCCCACTGAGACCTGGGCAGAGTCCACGTGGATGGTGCCCGGTGCCCACTTTCATCTCCTCTTCTGTGCCTGGTGCCACTTAGGTGCCCACGAGTTCAGGCAGCTTGGGAAGAACGTTCTGGATTTGCTGGCCGAATCCTCCAGGTGTCCCGTGGTAGCCCCTTCCTTCCATCCCCGAGCTCCTCAGACAGGATGAGCTCCGGCTCGTTTCAGAGGTGGTGCCGTGGGCTTCCCACCGTGTCACCTCAGGGACACGTCTTCTGCTTCTACCTGTGCTGAGGTGCAGGGGCTCCAGGAAGCTGGGCTGCGCCGTCCGTTATCAATGGCCCCCCAACTTTTATTGTTTCCGACTTGCATCAATTGACCAGGCACCGTAAAACAGTGACTTTCTAATTATTTTCCATTAATTAGCTGGAATTCTTCGAAAGAAAAAAAGAATCTCAAACCTCCTGTCACCACTTGATTCCCCCCACGTCAGTCTGGACAGAAAAGACAAATTGAATGCCTGATTCTTTCCTTTTATTTGCCAGTTTTTAGAATGAGTTAGTGCCCTGGCAACCTCCAAAAGTAAACATTAGATGTTTCTTTTTAAGCATCATTATGAACTCTTGGGTGTTCATACAATTCAACATAAATTTCTTATAAAAAACAAGTATTAAGTCTATGATATCATTAATAGTAACTTGAATGACTTGTTTATGAAGGATTTATATATTAAATAAAACTTGTGTGCTCACGTTTTTATATATAGATATTAATTTATAAAAAATTAACAAGATAGAACATTTTATGTTTTTACAGCCTGCAGAGATAACATCAAGATTAACTCTGGCCTAGCTTAGGCTACATGATCACAGACAAGCTGATGTGTTTAAAATGAAAGAGATTTATCCCTTGGTATTCTCATGGCTTTATTTTTACATTAAAATCTTTAATGATGTATTATTTATTGCTATCTTCCACCAAATGGTTGGCCAGTCAATCCCAGGGTGACTTTTAATAAATAACAGCCAAAAAAAGAATGTAAGTCATATAAACGTAATTTATGAAAATCATACAACCTTATATAATTCCATAACAACATATGTAACTTACAAAAAAAAAGAAGGAAAAATCAACTAGCACATGGGGAGGCCAAAGGGAACGCGGTGGACAGGTGGCCCTAACTGCGAAAGTTGCGCAGAGCGCTCACCTGGCCGCTCCGACGCCGGCACTCCAACAAGGCTAAGCACAAAAACAGCAGGACACAAATACCGCACCCGGTTAGCAAATGCTTCTCACGAGGGTACGGGGCCAGCAATCCTGAAGCGGGTTTAGGTGTCTACCTAAAGCACCGACATCACGGCAGTCACTCTGAGCGCCGGGTTTTCTCCCTGTTA